TTAAATTTGGTGCGAACTTCACCTTTTCAAAGTCTGTATATCTTATTGCAACATGGACGCGAGTGCCATTTTAGAACAGCACGTGAAATTATCAATGAAGAACTGAATCACGAGTACGATGAGCTGATCATGGCACTGATAAAGGAGTCATCAACAACCCAACAAAAGAACACACGTGAAACTATTCAACACGACCGGATTGCTGCTGACCAACAACTTCAACGCGACTACTTTCAAGACTCACCATTGTATCCTCAACATCTATTTGAAAGGAGATTCCGAATGAGTCCAGAACTTTTTGGACGACTGGCTGCCGACCTGCAGGGACACAACAAATACTGGATACAACGTCGCGTAAGTTTTTCCAAAACTATCATTAATGTTGGATTCAACAGTTGAACATCTATGCCATATAGGATTGCTGTCTGAAACTAGGACACTCAACAACCCAGAAGATGACCGCTGCGCTGAGACAACTGGCTTATGGAATGGCTGCCGATGGGTTAGATGATTACTTGAAAATTGGTGAAAGTACTGCAATAGAATCTTTGAAACATTTTGTACGCGATATAATCGACCTCTATTCAGCGGAATACCTAAGACCCCCAAACTCTGAAGAGCTTGAGAACATACTAAAAGAAAACAAGATGAGAGGCTTCCCCGGATGTAAAGGGAGTATAGATGGCATGCATTGGCTATGGAAGAACTGCCCTCAAGCATGGGCTGGTCAGTACGAGGGGAAAGAGAAGGGGACCTCAGTAATACTGGAGGCAGTTGCTTCAAAGAATCTATGTATCTGGCATGCCTTCTTTGGAACGCCAGGAGCCCTCAATGATATCAATGTTTTACATAACAGCCCACTGTTTGATTCCTTTATTAATGGTAAGATTTTTGGCTGTTATATCAGGTAGCAAGTATCTGACCTTTTCTACTCTCTTGAACTCGTATGGAGTAGGTTCTGAAGACAGAGTCCACTTTGAGGTGAATGGCAATCAATACACTCGTGGATATTATCTGGCAGATGGGATCTATCCTGCTTGGCCAGTCCTCATCAAGTCGATACAACGACCTTTAGACAAAGCAAGTAAGTATTTTTCAGAGTGCCAGGAAGCACTAAGAAAAGACATTGAGCGTGCTTTTGGGGTGCTTCAAGCGCGCTGGCATATCCTGAGTCAACCATGTCGTCTTTGGAGTCTGAAGGAAATGACCAAAGTGATTTTATGTTGCATCATCCTTCATAACATGGTGGTGGAAGACCGTGGCGAGTTGGATCAAGTCACCATTGACTATCGCACAAAACATGGGCTTGAGATACATCCCAATTGTCTTGATCCTCAAATCTCATACACTCTTGCTGAATATTACAACACAACATCAGAGCTACGAAGTCGCGATCAACACCTACGTCTGATGGAAGATCTCAAAATTTCAATGTGGATTAAGAGGGGGACTGGAGGGAATTAGACAAGAAATTCACGTTATGTTTCGATCTCAATCGATTCTGTTATGTTTCTTTTTCTATTTCATTTCATAAAATATAATCTCATCAATTGACCCAATGTCTCTGGTATGCAAATTTGTTATGGCAAGACACTTGAGAATTTCTTTTATTTCAGTGACCACAATAAACAAACAAAGATCAGTCAAATCTAGTGTAGAACATAGATAAGGTGAATTAGATCAACATGAATAGAATGAAATAAATTCCCAAGTCTAAGAGAAAAGATAGTTCCATGTTCTAATCCTCAGCCTGAACCTCTTCGTCATTTGAATACTTCTTCATCAATCTCGCTTTCAGCATCTTTAACACAGCTCTTGACTCTTCATCTGGACATGAATCAGGGGAAGTCGTTAATACCTTCATATCTTCATAATAAGCGTGGCTCTTCTTAGCTTCAGCATCGATCTCAAGAGCACGATCCGCAATCTTTTGACCATGTTCTAACATCTTAAGCTTTTGTTCCTGGATGTCGGAAGCCCGCTTGGGTTCTTCAGTCCGTTCGACATCTAACTCAGCCTCCTTGCGTTGTCTTTTCGCTTTTTTTTGGCCGACAGGACGTTCAAGAGGGTTGGAAGAAGGGGGTGGTGGTGTTGAACCGGTATGGATGATCGGATGGTGGACACCTGAGGCTGAAGT